ATATTATCGTCATTGAAATGATCACCTAGTAAATAAGATATAGTCTAAATATGAATGGACACATAATTGAGCATTACATAATGCCATGTCTACAAATCACAATACTCTCACATTTAAGTCGTGACTCCTGCACACACTGTGTAGATCAGAGGAGTCATGCATCTTTAATTTGAACATAATACAAAACCCAGTGATTGATTCAAACAATGACACCTCCATTGAGGGAAACCGTTATTTACTATGGCACTTTGAATGCTGATAGTATATTCTTTTACTCTGATTTACAGGAATGTCTTTAAACAACCAGCTGTAACTTCCAGACCTAGCAGCCATAAGAACTCACAGAAAATGGACCAGGCAAGGGACTGAATGATCCCTGGTGAACACTGATAGCACTGAACCAGTTCAACCAGGAAGACGCCAGTCACGGGAACTTCCTGTTTTCTGCTCACTTTTCTGGTACATCAGGTGTTCTGTCGCTCCAGATAAACCTTTTTCATCTCCACAGTTATTTTGATTCCCTTAAATATTACATTGCAACCTAAAATTTAACTTGCTAAGTAGATTAAATTGGTAAGTATGTAGCAATTTTCTTAAATAATGAATGGTTGTGTCACATTTTACAAAAAATACAAAATGAAAATCCAAGACCATGAACAATTACCACTGTGTGCTATCATCTAGATACAAATTCATCCTATAATAAAGCAAAGGCACTAACTTTGTAGTCCCAAACTCTACTATGTTTACATCAAATTTTGATAGAATTCTTTTGTCAACTACCCTAGATTCTTCTGTGTAACATAATATCCAACTTATCATGTCCAGTCATGAGCCTTATGGGTCCCAGATGATGTAGGCTGCTCAAATATTTTAAAATGATTGGAAAGAATTCAGTAATCATTCCTTTAAGAATTACTTTAATACCTTTTCGCTGTACAGATTATTATTGTGATCTCGGAGTTCCAAAATTATACAATCTTTCTGAGTTTTGTTTTTGTTTATCTTGGATGTTGAACATTCCTATTTATTTTGTCTGGAATTTGTGCAACTTCTCTTTTCCTTTTTCAGGAATCAATTCTATCCCAGCTTTTAGGACCTTAGGAAAGAAGCCTTTATATATATATTTTTATACTGGCTTAGATGTTTCCTCCACGGGAGACATTAAAACAGCAATCACTTAATTATGCATTTTAATTGGTGTATTTTTCGTCTAATAGACTGTAAACCAATAAAAGCAAGATGATGATATTTTATTCTACTGTCACATATCTAGTGCTAGCCACAGTACTGGTTCAAAATAGGCTAGATAGCTGATTTATGGAAATTAATGCACACACAGATCAATGTACAAATGAATGCATGAATACATGGATGACTCCTCAGGTCACTGTATTTTGAGAGGAAAGAACACTATCAAGGTTTAAAATGCTTTCAGATCTAACACATTAGATTTAAATTTTAAAAAAATACAATGAAAAGTAGCTATTCGCGGGGTATTAGGGAGTCAAGTGGGCGGTCATGTTAAAGCTGAATTTTACTTATTTATTTTTTGATTTTATTTAATTTCCTTGCAGAGTAACACCTGTGAACTATTCAGACTAATTAGCATCACCTGGTGATGATTGCTTGAGGAAAGTGTACAAATTAAATTCTTGATTGGATGACTGTTCAAGATCTTTTTTACCCCTCAAACATTTTCCTTTGTAAATAATCAGCATTCTCGTGTGTACGTTGCCTTCTTGTTCTCTCATATATGGAATTTGACGATCTGCGACACGTTTTTCCTTGGAATCATCTTAAAGCGCGCTATCAGCTTCAGTCATTTGCCAAAGCTCCGTGTTGGCCATGGAACGCACAGCAGGAAAGGTTTCAAGGTGAAAAGGGCAATTGCGGAGTTTCTTAGGCCTGAGAGCCTGTCACTGCTGTGTCCTTCCCCCTCTCTGCTGCTCCAGGAGGACACCCCGACACCCCTCCTCTTACCAGTTTGCAGCTTGCTCACCCACTTATCTCACATACCCGTGCGCTTTGGACATGAGGTGAGGAGGTGGAGGAGGGCGAATGGGAATGTGATGGTAGGCCTGGGAGTGCAGCGAAGGGCAGAGCGAGAAAATAGATGAGAGCAGCAGGAGGCAGTGGGAAGGCACGCTGAGAGCGGAGACAGGCAGCATTTATATCCCAGCCTTATGTCTCCTGGCCAGTTTTGGCTCTGTGTCCTTCCTCCTCACCGTGCTGCTGTTCCCTCTGTCTGGAATGTCCTTGTGGCTTGGAATGCTTGTGTTGTCCAAAATCCAGTTTAAAAATTACCTTACTCTAAGACCTTAATCGATGTTCCATTCAGTTTTTACATCATTTTCAAAGTATTTATGATTTACATGTGTCATTCCTAGGAGATTCTGAATGCCTGAAAAGGAAGGCCATGAGATTGTTTAATGTATAAATTTTAGGAGAGTGGCTTAGGGTAAATGCCGAGTAAATATTTGTTAAAAGAATGAGTGAATGCTATTTAACTCATATACAGTCTGCCAACATATACACACTTCAGAAAAACACAAACATAAATACTTTGATACTAAATTTATTGAGACATCGTGAGATTAATACAAGCTACCATTGGCCTTTGCAATTACAAGAGATGCTCAAAGTGGTGGCCATCAGCTTCCAGACAGTTATTTGTATGGTAAACTGCTGCTTGGGTAACCATGGTCAGCGAAGTTGCCGCACATACATTTTCAATTTCTTCTCTAAGGGCCGGCAATGTAGCGGGTTTTCTGAGATGCATGACAGTCTCTAGGGTCCCCCACATGAGGATAACACCATCTGTTGATAAAAACATGCTATTTTTTTTTTTTTTCTGGAAATGTGTATACATTTTTTTTTGGCAGATTCTGTATTTACAAAATAAGTCTTATAACGTTGGACAGTGGAAATCTTCTGAATTTTGTGGCCTCCATTATTCTTTAAACACTGTAGTTTATGAAATTTCTGTAATATTTGAGCCTCTGTTTTATCATCAGTATAAATAAAAGATCATATATATATATATATATATATATGCATGCACACGTGTATTTGAGGACATGTTTACGTATGTGTATCTCTGCATACACTTATATGTGTACCTACACAAATGAATGAATGCATGTAGATGGGACATTTGAAGACTCCTGAATTTTTGTATGGAATTTGCATGAGAGAGCTCAATGTTCTATATTCTTCTCCAGAAATACCCTCATTCCTTCCACTACTAAAGAGCCCACCTAGTAATTCTCAGCTCCTTTATTGCCACTGACCCTCAGGAATGGTGGTATCAAAAACCGGTTACCATAGGAGTACGAATAATATCTCCATGTAGTCTTTGACTTCTGATATCTATTTTCTGCTTATGACCATGCAGTCAGGCTTTTACTGAGCTTTACTTTCCTTATCACTTAAAATGATAAATAGAGACTCTGACTATTTACAAAAAGAAATGAATGTTCACAATATAAATCACATTTCAGAAAGAGATGGAGCAGGTGGAACAAAAGGTTAATGTTTTCTTCAAATTCACATAGAAACCAGGAGAAAAAGATAAAATGGCAGCATTCCTAGAAGATGGCAAGGTAAAGATTTTTTCAATTCTCTAACAATTGTATAATTGCGTAATAATAGTAGAGTAAAATACTCCAGTCTTGAAAGGAAATGACCTCTCCATGTATGGTGAGACAGACGCATTACAATTTGTTGATGAAATTTTATCCACACATTCCATTATTTTATGTATGTAGGCTCATATATTGCATACAAAATGTCTTTCAGATAACTATGATTATGTACATTTCAATAACTAGTAAACAGACTTAGGTAGGTAAAATATATGCCCAAATACAGTATGAAATGGTAGGATATAAAATCACCAAATGTATAACTACTTTTAGATTACCTTACAGTGTGCAAACCAATGAAACAGTCAGAATTAGGGTTCCAGTAAAGTTCTAATTACATTCATCTATATAGCATGTAAATGAATTGCATTTTTTGAAGAATACATTTTAGAAGTTATGGAAATAGCATAATGTAACCTCAGATAAATGAATATAAGATAAACACTGTTACGATTCAAATGTCATTCACACTGGAGTAGCAGGAACAAAGCAGGATTTCCAGTAGAAGAAGATCTAATTAAGAGAATAATATTTGCTTATTGTCAGCGCCTAATTAGTTTTCCTTGTATTCATGTTTATAAAGGTGGCTCCGTTATAATTACAGTTCAACAAGGAGTAATTATGCGATATGTCTCATTGTAGAAAATATAGCTAAGACACTTGAAGATCTTCTTTTTTCCTTTATACACATCATTTCTTGAACATTTTTGGTATTTGCATATTCTCTGTTTCTCTCTCTTGCCTTACTACCTGACAAACATCATGAAAAGTTCATGAAAAAACTTCCACAATACAATCTCCTCCCAGATAAATACAACATTTCCTATCTCTATATTCCTATGGTACATTTCACTGTTATATGTATTACCATCTAATAACCTAAATACTGTTAAATTCTACTCTCAATTGCATTAAATTTGATATCTTTGAGGGTAGATTTTAGGATAAACTGTGTAAATCTGGTATTTTCAGATAAAAATTATAAAATATCAATTATTAAATATCATTTTAATTGCTCATCTTTACTACATCGTACTCCATTTTATGCTTGTTATGGGTCCTAGAATAGTATACAAAACTTTAAAAAAATGTTTTATACTGACCATAAGTCTACTTGCTATTTTCAATGTGATGCGATTCGATTATCATCAAAACTACCCAAAATTTTATAACAGTTTTATAGATAATAAAGAGTTAGCTCAAGATATTTAAATAAGTATGTCTATTATATTTTTATTGAGAGTCACTGTTGTTTCTCTCACTGACATATTTGCTCAATTTCTACCATTAAACTTTGTTAGCTATATCATCATTGAATGAAACCAAATACTACTGTGTTAAAGAAAAATTAGGAATAATTTGTTCATTTCAGAAAATCATTTTTGCATTTTTGAGATCTGAGACACAGATATTTAATCCATGATATGTGACTATCGAATCACCACTGTTTCTTTGTCCTTTAGGAAACAAAATAATGTTTTCTTGTTTTTTATGCATGTCTGAGCTTAGCTGTTTCTTAACACCTGCTTTTTTAAAAATCACATTCTAAGTTGAAAGAGTAGCATGATTCTGCCCTCTGGTCTCATGAATAGATGTGTGTCTGTTATGCAAAGCTCTTGAAGATAGTCCTCACCCACACCTGAGGATGTCTCAGCATGTGTCTAACAAGGTGATGGTTACAGTTTTTTTTAGTGAGCAAATTCTCTCCACGAAAACACATCCTTCTCTTCTCTCCCATCACAGAACCTTACACACAGTAGGACCTTCTGCTATGTTTTGAAGGCTCAGTCCAATGGCTATTGCTTTGAAAGCCTGATTGCTAATAGACCCGTGTTCAGATGTGGATCTTTGGAAGGTGACTGGATCATGATGGTACTGACCAATAGATTAATTGATACAGAGTAATGGGCTTCAGGGAGGTGGTGGAAACTGTGGGAGGTAAGCCCTAGATTACAGCAGTCAGATCCCAGGGACATCACTTTAAGCATGGAATCTGTCCCCAAGGCTCCTTCTTGTCTGCGTTTGATTCCTGGGCACCATGAGCTGTGCGGATTTTCCCCACCATGTGCTGGTTGGTGCCTCACCACAGGCCAAGAAACAAGGAAGCCAATTGACTATCCGTTTAACCTCTGAGTAGTGGTGAAAAAAGACATCCTTCTTTATTTAAATTTATTTTCTCATGTATTATACTCTACTGACAAAACGTTCTACAGATTCTCAGCATATCATTCTTTGGAAATACGTGTGCTGAGCAGACATTTGTGGGTTGGGGAGAAGAAGGGAAAGGCAGAGCTGGAGATAGAGAGGGAGAGAGACAGAGACAGGAAGACTGAGATTTGGAGATGAGAGATCAAACACTGATAAAACATCGGATTGCATTTTGCCTTCTAGATTCCTCTTCTAAGAACTCAGAGTTCAGTTTTTCATAGTAATCAGCTATGTGAAAATAATATGTGACAAAAGCACTATCAAAATATACGTATACTAAAAATGTGCAGCCTGAACTTTCCACTGTAATTATGCGGGTATACAAATCAGCAAAAGCAGCTGTTAGGGGGAGTAGTGTTTCATTGACTTCAGATTAGCAAAGATTTGAAAAGGTATTCATTGACTGTGACACTGCGCTGTCTTTTTCATTCCTGAAAGACCGTTTCTGTGAGACACTGTTATGATTCAAATGTCATTCACACTGGAGTAGCAGGACCAAAGCAGGATTTCCAGTAGAAGAAGATCTAATTAAGAGTATAATATTTGCTTATTGTCAGCGCCTAATTAGTTTTCCTTGTATTCATGTTTATAAAGGTGGCTCCGTTATAATTACAGTTCAACAAGCAGTAGTTACGTAATATGTCTCATTGTAGAAAATACAGCTAAGACACTTGAAGATCTTCTTTCTTCCTTTATACACACCAACACACACACGATAGAGACATCAAGTGGTTACATTTCACTCCTTTTTCTTCACAGTGAGAGACACACACTAATAAGTTCAGTGAAGAGGGAGACAAGTGCTATTATTTTACCATTCAGTGAATCTGACTTCTGTGGCATAGAAGCCCATGAATATGGGAGGGTATTAGACGTTCACTGTATGTTGCATTTTAAAAATGATATTTCTGATCCTTTTTTGTATATACTCTCTGCACTTAGAAATTGATAAAAATGACAAGGCATGAGTTACAAATTACTGCAAAAAGCCTTGAATTAAAGTGATATTCTGTGTTAATGGGCAAAAGCAGAGATCAAAAACAATTAAATTGTTTTTTGTGCTAATTCTGGAAAGAGAATTTGGATCACACCAACCCCCTGGTACTTGTCTTTGAGAAGTTTTGCTCAATTTAATCAGGAACACATAGGACTCTATACATTAAATACCTCCAAACTTTCAATCTTTCTTTCCATGTTTCTTTAATGTCACAAATGAATCCGTTTAATAAAATAGCAAATGATGATAATATTGTGGTGTTACAAATAAGTATTAACATTTCAGTGGCTTTTGCAAACAGAATTTCATTTTTTTTTTTTTTTTTTTTATTCATGAAGCTGTAAAATGAGGGTGTTCCTGGTTAGCTCACAAATGATCTTCACATTGGTGATTCAGGCCCCTGGCTGATCTCAGGCTCCAGGCTCTCATATTTTGCTTCTAAGATAAGAAAAAACAAAGCAAACAAACAAATGTCCTAAATTTCTAGCCCAACAATGGAGTGTATCACTTAAGATTACCTTGCATTGATAAAAACTGAATTATATCTGAGAACCATAGCTTGTTACTAGAAAACATTGCCACTGAGGATCCCAGATTAAAAAAGAGGAAACACAAACTCTGTGCATGAACCATGCTTTCTACACAATTCCTAGGAAGGACGCCTCTGCATTACTTTAAGCCATTGTATTTGGTGAATTTTCATGCAAACATCAAAGTCCCTCCAAGCATTATTTTTCTTGGCAATCATTTGTGTTCTTTCAAATCAAGAAAAGAAAATTGCCTCTTCCTTACAAATACAATATCCATAAATATTTTAACATATAATAAAATGTTTATATATAATTACTCAACTGGCTGTATGTTATGCTCATTTCTAGTATCATTTATATGCCTTTTTCCAATCACATTGCCTAAGCTATTTAATTTACCTGTTATTTCAACTACTGTTTTCTTGATGATGTCCACAGTTATGTATCCATCACAATGCTATTTCTTCTAGATCTTTAGGGTCCTATATCAATATTTATGTGAAAATGTTTAGCTGAGGAACTGTTTGTTGTTGGATTTCAAACCATTACAATATGTAATGTAAAAAGTAATCGTTTTAATGTCCTTATGGTTTTGCAGATCAGTATTTTCTGCATCGATTAAAAGTGGGATCTACTCTGTGCTCCAGAATGAAAGAGGTCCACAATGAGGCTGTGGTAGACTAACCAATGGTCAGTTTGTAGCACACAGCACAGTGTTGGGTATGGATGGTCCACTCAAGGATTCCTGCCAACAACAAAGAAGGATAACTGGAGGGGAAGACAGTGTACTGTTGATTCTCACAGAGAAGCTTATCATGCTGGCTTTCCTGATAAGAACTCAGTTGTTCTTACTTACAAAGATGAAGGTTATGATTCTTTGCAGGAGAGTTCTGGTCCTTACATTGAGCATCACTTCCTGGCTCCTGTGCAGATCCCTCAGTCTGCTGGAGTGGATCCCTCATCAGTTTGGAGTAGGCTTTCTGATTTTCACTGCTGACCGTTGGACCTTCCCAGGGCAGATACTCCATACAGGTTTGCATGAGACATTGTGAGCTCTAGGCCTCTAGATGGACTGATGAAGCACACTGCATCTGCTTTAGGTCTTCAGCTGGACTTGTGCAGGACATTGCTCTGGAATCCAGGCCTTCAGCTGGATTCTTTGGATCTCTAGCATATGGGCAGATCTCTTGCACATTATGCATTTGACTGTTTGGGTGAACATTATAAAATAATCCTATAAATTATTTGTCCTGTATTAAATCTTTTTCCTTGTAAATCTTATTTACAACATAGGCTGATTTAGCTTTCTGGAGATGGCATTTCCATTAGATGAGCCCATGTATTTGGGTCGTCAATTCTGACTCTCATTTGGATTACTTTCTTCACATTTTTCTTTCTAACATTTTTTTCTGAGTTTGAAGTTACTAATGGGGTTTGTTCAGAGATAATCCAACATATGCAAAGAGATAATCTACTTCTTCTCTCATCTCTCCCATCTCCCCTTTTCTCTCTCCTTCTCTCTCTTTCTCTGTGTCTTATTATTGCTCTCTCTTTACAAAGACATGAGAGCAAGCATCTTATTTGTAATTACCATTCTTGCAATAGGTGATCCTGGCACAAATTCTGAACTCAATAGGGTAAACAATGTCATTAATATAATGGAATTTTTTGTGTTGTGCACTGAGGACTGCCTATCTCTTTAGTAGTATTCAAGATGCTAGTGGTTTTTGAGAAAGCCCAAGTATATTCCACAGTAGGACAAATTAAATGTCCACATTAGCTATAAAACCCTTTCTCCTGTTCTGGGTTGTGAAGATTCTCCGATCTTCTAACTACCCAAAATATGCTTCTGTCTGTAAATCTCTTCTAAACTGCATTTTATGCAATTCTGGATTTCTCCACATCTTTTTTTGGTTGACTGGCACCTTCTGCCTTTGGCAGCCTGTTCCTATATACCACTTGTCTGTCTTTCTCTGTACATTTTAGGTCTCTAGGTACTTAGATTTCTCACCTAGTCCCCAATATCCCCAAGAGTGATTTTCCAAATGTCATTTCCATTACATTCTATTGGTTGCATAAACAATTAGATCAATCCCAATTTAAAACAAAGGAATTGAACTTATCCCTTCAAGGAATTCGGAGCCATCTTTCATCAGCATAGAACATAGTTCAGTGATAAATGACTTCTAATGCAAAGTATAATTGTACCCTCTCAAACTTCCCAGATTTCATCTCATTATAGTACTGGCCTGAGTCCAGGATCCTCTAATGAGAATCAAGGTCAGGTTTGTAAGAAGCTCTTCACAAGTGACCCCTCAGGATGATTCTTTCTGCTCTGGAGATCTGTGAATGAAAGAAATAGTTTTATATTTTGTATGTGGCCAACACAGAAAGGTGATGCAGTGAGAACACTTTTCCATGCTTCTTTCCTCTCTTGTGTGCTCCTGATTCATTTACCTAAAAAAATACCTGAATTCGCATTTTAGTTTGTTTTTAGGCCTCAGAAATTTTGGAGTTCAAAAGTTTGTTTAAAATTCACTATTTCTAATTTATTTAGCTTTTTGAAACAAGGTTTTGCTATGCAGTTCAGGCTGGCCTCAGATTCACTTTGTAGCCCCGGTGGTCTCCAACTTGCAAGGATCCTCCTATCTCAGCTTCTTGAGAGCTGGGATTACAGGGATGTGCCACCACACCTACCACTGTTTCTATTTTAGTCTAAAATAGCAGTACTTCCCTTAATTTGATACTCATAGATTTTGTGAGATTTGACTGTTATTGTTGTTCACTCTCTTAGATAACAGGTAAGTTTATCCATTTCTTTGAGTCATGATTTTCACTATGGTGGTCCCATGTGAAGCTACAATCGACAAAGACATCAAGATTCTTAGAAACTCTGTTTTTTTTTTTTTGTGTGTGTGTGTGATTCTCTGAGTTGTTTCTTTACAATATTTTCTTTCAAGGCTTTTCAAATAGCTTGAAGCTTCTGGGATACTGGCCTTACCTGAAGTCTTAACAAATGAGATTACAGCCTACACAGGCTCTCATTTTTGCACTGAAGCTACTTTTCATCTAGTGAATATTTTGCTAGAGATTGGGGGTAAGAAGCAGGTTTATTTTATAATCAAATGAATTTTTATTCATTTATAATTCCACTAAATTACCCTCAAAATATAATAGTTTTTTCGTTAATTCAATTTTGTCACATCTTTTAACATAGTAAGTAATTGCCATTTTTTCCTGTTGCCTAGTCATCTCCCAGTTATCTGCAATTTCTTTTGCATAAGTCAATTAGGCCCTCTGTTCCTTTTCTAAATGTCTTTATGCAAAAGTATTGTCAAAGCTTCTACTACATGACAATCATCTCTTTCTCCAGTCTCAGATAATATTTCCTCATTGTTCTTTAGTCCTTCCTCAACAGTCTTATTAGGGAATGTTTGTTTTCACCCACCAATGTCATATGCTTAAAATTTTTATTATTGTGACCTATCATTTCCAGACAACAATTGTTATTATAGTCAACTATTGCTATCTTAAAAAGCACTGAAAATTAATACCTCCACAGTTTTGCTATGTTCATGAATATATTCTGATGAGGGATTTGGGTAAGGCACTATTAAACAAGTGGCATGATACCTAAATGTCTATTACTTACACTAGAGTGGCTTGATCATCCTTTGATTTCAAATGAGATTCTGAGAGAAGAGCCGTTCACCATGCATATCTTAGCTTCCCCTAATGCACTCTATTTCTTTCCATAACATGCTCATTTTGATGAAGAATTCATGCTGACAAGCTCTTTCATCTTATGAAACTGATATCTCTTTATGGGGAGAGACAATACATATCCTTCTAGTTTACTACTATAACTCCACAAATGATACACTGCTGTTGTATGGCAGGTAGTCACTAAATATTTGATGAATTTTGAAGACATCAATGATGTTTTCCAGTATCACACAGAGTTCTCAATGCAAGTCAATCTCAGAGTGGTACATATGCATTCGTCCAGATCTAATTATACATAAATTGTGCGCAAAATATATTAAGACAAGTTGGTCAGAGAGAAATTCATGTCATAATGAAGGATGAGGAGACATGGCTCTTATCCAGTAGAACAGTATGTGAAATATAATCTGAAAGTACTATAAAGAAAAGAATCATGATATAAAACAGGAAATGAGAAGGATGCTTCAAAACAAACAAACAAAAATAAAATTTCAGCAACACTGAAGCAAATAGTTCAAAATAAGCACATGATCCCATCTATTTTTGGAAGGGAAGTGAGATTATCATATATGAAATCTTAAAGGATTTATTGCGCAGTTTTCAATCAAATAGGAACTGTGATGAGTAACCTAGCATCTCCAATGCTAATATCTTTCTAAAATACCCAGGAAGTTATTTCCTTGGCCAGGGCAAGTGTCCTGGAACTCTTCTTGGTTTTCAGCTGGCTCTGGAAAATGGCTAGAAATGTACAGGAGTTAACTCAGTAAATTTTGTTTTTTGGTTTTGTTTGTCTTTTTCAGAAAGATGTTAGGGAGGACAGAGAGCTGAAAAGAAGTTTTTAATGGCCATAAGGTGGAAGAATAATCCATAATGACATTGAAAATCTAAATCATTGTTATTTTTTCTAAAATGATTGAAAAATGTATCTGTTTATTGATTCAGCAATAAATTTGAATAGAAGAGAACTTGATACTTAAGGACTTAGGCAGAGTTCTGTTGGGTATTTAGGAAACTCCCTCATCAACCAAAAACTGTCTTACAAATAGTGCTTTTGATTCTGCTTCTTTTAATTACATGCTTAAACAATGTTGTTTTTTGATACTGGGAATTGAACTCAGGGTCATGCACTTTCCAGGCAGGCACTATGCTGCTGAGCTACATCTCCAGCCTAAACAATGTTCCAGAACATTAGAGATGCATGAATGTAAGCCCTTATGTGTAAATGCATAAATCTGTACATGACAACTTATAGATTATCTGTTCATTAAAAATTTTAGACAGCAGTCAATTTTATGCTATTAGTAAGATGGGCTCAGTCCCTTAGATACACACAAGTACTAAATCCAAATATATTATATTATGATTACATACTGATACTCAAATGAGCACACACACACACTATATATGTATATAGCTACATCACTAGCTATCTTTGTTGAAAATTAAATGGAAAAAAGACTAATTGAAAATTTTAGGATAAAAATTTGCAATCTCAAAATTTCCAAGAACACTGCCAGTCAGCAAAAAGAGTAATCAAAATAACCCATCACCCATATCTTCCATGAAACTACAAGACAGGAGAATTCTATGTTCTTTAAATTATATGAAGTAGGGAAATAGGTACAGAAAACTAGCAGGTTCTGCTTCATAAATCAAAGTGAAGCAAACCAGTATACAAATAGGAGGCAGCACATGTCCATCCTGTAGACACTGATTAAATTTACTCACAGAAAAAAATATTCCATGTAAATTAGAGCAACACTGGATTCAAGTGTCAGAACCCAGTGATCATACAACTTGATATTGTGAATTTCAGAGAAAGTAACCAGCAAACAAATGAAACAGAAACAGGGTACTGGAAGACATAGTTTTTTTATAGTGAACATGGAACTAGGCAGCATATATGAGGGACGCATGAAGAAAAGACAGGAGGAGAATTACAAAGTTGGAAGCTATTCCAGGCCGCTTCCAAAGGGTGTCACACATTAAAGGTTCTTCTCTTTACTGTGCCAGGAGGGAAAACGGCTGTTGAACTAATAATAAGTCTTCTAAGCCACCCAATAGTTCACATGCCAGTACACTATTGTTTGTTAATACTTGCCCAGGATAATATAAGACTCTAAAATTTAATAAAAGATGTCTAATCAGAGATAATGTGTTAAAAAGAAAAATAAATATTTAAAAAGCTTTAGTTAGGAAAATATTTTCTGACTTTCATTTTTTTCCTCTGTTCATTTTTCATTGCTCAATTTTTCAAATTAGTCTTCTTTCATTGTTTCATTTGTGCTAGCATGGTTATTTCGCTTTACTGACCTTTAGATAGTTAACTCTGTGTTATTACTTTTGAATAATTTTCTAATGTTTGTGCAATTGTAAATGATGCACTTAGTAGCTATTTACTCCATGTCAATATTTGGTTTATTTTAGTGCTTATACTATAATTAAGACACTCTTTTCTAATGCTAAAGGTGGTACATTAAAGGTTCTTACGGTATGTCAATATCCGGTTTGTCTTTGATGCTATTACTGTTGTTGATTTGGTTGTTACTGACAGGGTAGTTTCGTGGTTGCTATGAGGAGATGTTCTCTGTCTGCCAGTGACAAATGCTGCAGTCCATTTCCAGAGACCTGGGTTTGGGGCCAATTATACTGCATCCTCCTCTGCCAAATTAATGGAGATGGATGGATCTGGGAAGGGAGGCAGAAGCCTATGGTTAGCCACACCCTGAGGGCATCAGTGAAAAACAGACACTAACAAGCCATGGATCACAGAATTACCTCCCCAGCCCAAGCTGACTTCTGAACGGCAATGCAGTCATCTCTTAGGGTTATCCATGTTCTTGGCACCTTAGAGCCAGCAGCTACCAGCAGGCCTTGGGAAAGCTGCTGGCCAAGAGGGAAGGTAGTTCCTAACAGTTTCCCTTTGCACTTCTTCTATTGCTGCTAGCTGCCTTCAGTGTTGCCAGACATGGCTGCTGACCGCTTTCAGCCAGCAACCTTTGGTTTTCTGGGCTCTGGCTGCTGGCTGCTGACAGTACCAGCGGCCTTTGGTTTCACTGGCTCTTAGTGTAGCAGCTGAGGAGTCTTTGCTCAAGAGAGAAATCATGAGTTGGCAAAAATACTCCACCTAAAAAAGGCTTGGTTAGGGTCCACCCTGCAGCACTGGGGAGCCAGGGCACAGACTGCTCCCAGCAGACCCTCTGAGTTTGCTCCTGTAGGATCCCCATAACAGGGGACTGGCTGTTCAAAGACCTGAGGAGAGCTGCCAAGGGACAGGAAAGGGCTGCAGAAAGGAGTCAGGTCAGTGACGGAAGACTGCTGCAAAACCAGTAGGGGAAAATAGTATCACCATCCACATGGCAGACAACAGAATATGTTGCCAAACTGTTTAGCTCTGCTATAGAAATCCCCTTTACTAATGATAAAGCCAGCTCAGATTTTAAGAAATGAACAGAAACTAAAAGTTTTATTTGCGTTCTAGGGAACAAACTTGAACCTGGCTAGTTCTAAATCAAACACGCATAGGTGAGTTCAATCTAAGAATGCTGTTAAGGCCTCCAGTAAATAAGCTGTCAATTATCAATCCTCAAATGGTCTCCCAGGGCTTATAACTCACACACTTGAAAATTTTAGAGAACATTTTTCCTAATTGGCATAAATAGTAGAATTTCTACCCAAGCAAGAGTGTACCAAAATAATAATAATAATAATAATAATAATAATAATAATAATAGTACTGCTTAACCCTAATGTGTTTCCCTTATCTACCCTCTAAGTTTCTGAGCTCCACTGGAAAGGGAGTGGTGGTTCTTATGCTTCAGTTTCTCCAGACTACTATCAACATCATATTTCAGGGTTCTAGCTCCTTAACTTACTTAGGAACCCCATTTAAAATGTGACAGCGGGGGCTGGAGATTTAGCTCAGCAGCATAAGCGCCTGCCTTGCAAGCAGGCAGTCGTGAGTTGGATCCCAGGTACCTATAAAAAGGAAAAAGACAAATAAATAAATAAATAAATAAATAAATAAATAAATAAAATAAAATAAAATGTGACTACGTTTTTTCTAGCTATTGAGAAATTTCTTCTTTCCTCCATATTAACAACAGGTTACTTATAGGTGATTCATTTTATATCCATAACAAAATGTTAAGGGAAAATAATTCATCTCCCTGTAGTACCTAGATTTCATACATGTGAAATCTTCAAGTTTTTTTTATTTAACACATATTCAAACCTTTAAATCTTAATAATAAAATTATAAATGAATTTAACTTGTGATTGTAGTAGGAAATGAGCACAGGTAAGAAAAGAAAACAAATTTGAAGCTGGTGTTTTACAAATATTTTACATAATCATCACACCTTGTGAGGTAGATATCACAAGTCTAATTTTCTAGATGAATAAACAGCAATTGAAGATCTGATAATTTACTCTTGATCACACAAGGGTATATAAAAATCTCAAGTTCAGATTCTAGCATAGCCTCTCAGAATTTTTCCTATTTTAAAAAATTTTTGAAATTGAGTAATAAGTAATTTTTGCTGTGCATTGTTCTAGAGGTGGAATTCAAGACCTTATCACTGAGCTACATACTGAGCACTTATTTTTGTACTTTTTTTTTTTTTTTTTTTTAATTTTAAAACAAGATACTGGGCTGGGGTTTTAGCTCAGTGGCATAAGCGCCTGCCTGGCAAACATAAGGTCGTGAGTTCAATCCCTGATACCAAAAACAAACAAATAAATAAATAAAAACCCACAAGATAGTTCTAAGTTGCAAAATTGCCTGACATAGGCTCAAATTTGTCATCTTTCCACTTCAGACTCCCTGAGATTATATACCCTGAGGTATGTGAGGTCACACCCTGCAGTCTCACCATGGTGTGTTGACAAGACCACCCTGAGACCTTGGGACTGTGTTCTACCTCTGCAGTACTCTCACCTTACACTGCCACTTACACAATCACAAGCGCACTTACAAACGTACTTGAAATTACTTAATTTGCTGAGGTGTACATATTCTTAATTTTCTATTTGTTCAATAAATTAGATTCCTAGAACCCATAAGTACTCTATTGTTTCTGGACATCAGAGGACATTTCAGAAATCCTTGTTGTGTTGTATCAATGACAAATATCTGCATGTCTTTATCCTCAGCTCAGAGGATCACTGTGCCTCTCTGTTTATCACTTCCCTCCAAATGCTGCAATCACACATTTGCAACTGTGTCTCTAAATGTCTGAGTCACAGTGAGACGTAGCTGGTACTGATAAATTACCAAGATAACCTTTTGCTGAGGTTGTTAATGTGATTGATAGGAGTCAGTATATAAGTTAGAGATCATCATTTTTGATTGGTAAAATGAGATTTACCGAAGGAGCCACACCAAGCATTCTCTAAGAATGGAAAGACATTCCCTACAGTGTTTGGTCCTATGTCTAGACATATGAGGGCTTTAATACCTAATCTTAAGGTTAAGGAATCCTGGGAAAGAGTCAAGAAGTCAGGATGTCAGAGCAGTGGTTTTCTGAGTTGAAAATACATTAAAATATCAGATTCCTGGAAGCGACCTCTGACTCAGCAGGGGCATCTGAGAATCTGCGTTTGTAACAAATTTCCAGAGGAAGCTGGCTGTGCTTCTCTGGAACTATATGCGGAACAGCTCTTCTATAAAACAGCCTCTGGTTGGGAATATAGTCTCCAGAAATAAACCACCTGTGACGGAAACCCTTTTCTTTCATTAAGTGCTTCAGATGAGTTTATTAAAAACTTAGTTATTGTTTACTCATTTAATAAATAGAAATAACAATAGGATAAATGCAATGCCAGACCCGTGTTAAGAATTAAGGTGTCTTAGGGTGTGACAGTAATTGCTCTCAACTCTGGTGGGGGCTGTTTCTCTTGTTGTCTCAATTTTTTCCACTCTCAGAAATGCCATGACATTTTTTAAAACAGAAGACCCTTCAAGGTTTATCCCTGTGGCTTTAATTACAAATATACCTATAGGAAGTACCTAACCATAAACTCACCAAACACTAGTGATCCTACACACTTGGTTTTTCTGTCTTAATGTCAGCAATAGGGAAATCAAGACACAAACACTGAGGCTCACACCCTCATAGCGCTGTGGTCAGAGACAGTGGTGTTAGCTGATCGGCAACATGAGTCTTGGCTCCTCATACTTTCTTACACAGAGGTCAGTTGCTTGCTCTGGACATTAAGCATATATGTGTGAATGTGTTTGATTGGTTACAGGTGCCGAAAATGATGTATGTTTCTTTTGTGTAATTACATTAGCAGCAGGTCTTTTCTGTTTACAAATGTGCACTTGTCCTCAAGGAAGAGTACAGAGGGAAAGGTCACAGACGCAAGGAACTGACAGTCTGGAAAACACTCACGCTTTCAAAGCAATTTTCTACTGATCCCTTTATAAAATACCATGTAAAAACTTAGAGAAAGACTTTCTAAGAAATGCTACATATCTTTTCAAGCCAAAGATGGATGGATGGAACAGCAGCTCTCTAGGGAGTAGTGGAGGAGAGCCATTTTCACAAATTATCCTGTGAAAATAAAGCCTGTGAGAAAGATGAGACAGAAAGGGAGGAGTGGACAAAATAGAGTTTTAACATAATGAGTAATCTGAGCCTGTTATGACTTTGATAACTTAAAATGCTCTGTGAAGTAAATTTTTATGAAACCAAAAAAGGTAACTCTTTTATTTGTAACCGATAAAATATTGACCAGTCTATGTGTTAATCCTTAAATTAATCTGGAAAATTTCCAAGATCAGGTTCATTTGGCTTCAGTAGGAAACTAAAATCGGTGTCACACTGCAATAAAAGTTCTTCCAAAAACATCTGAACTGCCAATTAGTTTGTTTTGCACGTAATTGTGTTATTTTCATGCTTTTACATTTTCTTCATTGTTAATGTAACATTTTCTCTCAATTAATCAAACAACAACATTGCCAAAATTTTCACATACAGAATGAGAAATTTCCACACATCTCAATAACTATTTTGGACACTTGCAGTTAAGCACATTAAGATGCTTATTAGTGGAGAGTTGCGGAATGAGCCTCAATTAGTGAATTAGACTGTATTCATTACACTTTGCCAAATGCTCATTAACAGATTGTTTGATATTTTTTTCCTGTTCATTATAGAAAATGGGGGAAGAGTGCTGAGGAACTAGCTTGTCTTAGCAGCAATATGAAATTGAAGTCACATAATAGTCTTTTTGCTTAAATCAATCTAGCATAAAAGAGTGCTTCCAGCTTTATTTCTAAGATGTATGATGCAGCTAGGCGCTGGATGGCTGACTCTTTCATGCCACCAGGAGGACCATTTGGCATATTTTTACAAACTCTTTTCTTCAAAATAAAAAGAGCTCAAAGAAGGCAGGTCTGTGTCTGTGACAAACAGAACTCATTTCATGCCCATTTTGACTCAAGGATACCCAGATGTTCTCAGGAAACCTGTTATTTTAGATTCACAGTAATCTGGTGTGCTTCCATTCAGCCTTCTCTGCTTTTACATTACTCAGGAGCTGAAATTTTAAAGCTTTTTCAGCTTCCTCCTCATTTCCTCTGACACGGTTCTTTCCTTTATTAAACTCTTTGCATATTTAATCCCATGTTGTTGCCTACTTCTTGGAAAATCCAGACTAACACAATAAGCAAAGAATACTCCCCCAGCCCTAGTAGAGCACCTGCAACATACCAGGAAACCCCATCAAACCTGATAGGAATAAATCAACGTAGTAAAAGGGGGAAGAATGAGTGAAAGTCTACACAGCAATGCAAGACTCACAGTCTCCTCCTGCTTGACTCCCCAGCTGGAACTTTCTTTGGGCAAAATAGTCAGAGAAGCAATCTTAGATACGAGGCGGCCTACAGCTGCTCCCTCAAAATGGCCCATTTCTGTGTTTTTTAACACTGTAACATGAGTCCTATCAGCAATAAAACTCTATCTTCAAACAACTCTTCTGATGCCTCTTTTATAAGACTTGACCAGCAAATTTGACCTTGGATATCTAATACCAAAGCGACCAGTGTAAACAAATAAATGTAAATGAGAGAAGTCGACAACAGAAAACAGTAATGGAAAGAAAACATTAAAACCATTTCAAATGTCATCCTCAGAATAGTTAGAATAGTAGAAGGTAAGCATGAGATCACGTTCCAGAGAAAAATGTGGCTGGATCTTAAATGCTCCCCAAAAGTCGTGTGCAAAAGGCTTGTATCTGTGGGACTCCTGGAAGGCTAAGCTTCCGGAAAGCAGGACCCAGGGGAAGGTGTCAGGGCCTTGAGGTCATTGCCTTCACGTGGCTTTAGGACATCAAGCCTCAGCCCCAGATTCCAAGCCCAGAGAGATGACAGAGCTCTCCCACCACAGCACCAGCATGATGTTCTGAACTTGGCTGCTATAGCCCAAAGTCATGTTGCTGTGCAGTCATGAACTGAAATTTCTGAAATCGGCAACCAAAATACATTTTTCTTCTTTTAAATTGTGTTGTATAGGTGGTTTTTGATAACAGAAAGCTAACACAGTACACAAAATTTAAAAGACTAGAAATGTGTCTTACAGATCAATCGTATTTTTAAAGAGAAAAAACAAAACAAAACAGTAAAAGGGTACAAGTAATCCAGAATTTCAAGAAAAAAATATACAGTAAGAAATCACTAGTTAATAGATTACATATTGTCATCTTAGAAACAGTTGTCCAAATTTATTTCATTATAGTCTTCCAACCAAAAAGAAAAGCTCTGGATTCTGGGAATAGTGCCACACCCACATAATCACAGCCCCTGGGAGGCTGAAGCAGGGGCATCTCTGTGAGTTCAAGGTCTGGGCTACATAGCGAGTTCAAGGTCAGCCTGAATTATGTAGTTCAAGGTCAGCCTGAAAACTCTGTCTCAAAAAAAAACAACACAAACTAAAAAAGAATAACTACTAAAGATGAAAGATAAAATAGAGGCA